GTGAGGGGATGAAGGGGGCGGCCCGGGAAGGCGCTCCGTGACCTTGGGCAAGGCTGAGCGAGCAGCTCAGGAGGCTGCTGATGCCTCCTGATGCTGGGTTGCTTCGCTTCGGGGGTCGGTAGCGCTGCGCCCCTCCGGGCGAGCGGGATCCCCGTGGGCATCGCTCTGCCCGGTTACCGTGAGACGACCCCAGCAGCAGTCTGACGGCGTTAAATTCGCTTCCCGAAGTGGCAGCTTGAGGTCAAATTTAAATGCCTTTTACATAACGAGTTTTCTGCTAACCGCCCACTACAGTCAGCTTAATATATTTATTTTTTTCCCTTTTTTTTTTTTTTATAAAAGTGTGTAGTGAATTCTAGGTTCTTATAAGATCTTTCAAAACTGCTACCTGAAAAAGGCGCCTCTTATTTAAATGCCTTGCAGCACATTAAGGCAGTTATGCTTCAGTAATTACTATTTTCTTTTTCAAAGGGAAAAAAACGTTCGCATGTATGCTGTATTTTTTCCCCCTTCCTGGGTTTGTCGCACCAATTAAAAATAATAGTAGTTAACTGAAAAGCACTAAAAAGAAAGAAAAATAGATGAACGTGTGTAGAAGCTAGGTAGTTGACAGAGTGTAATCCTTGAGGTTATTTGTATGACCAGTGTAAGGCAAACTAAGCGCTGGCTTTGGAACTGACTCATCTTTGTCCCCACTCGCATCTCTGCAGCACTAGAGCTGTAGGTCTTTTTACCAGATCCTCAGCACTGTGAAGCTGCCCACCATGAGGTTTCATCAAGATAAAAACTTCTGGTGCTTGCTGGCTCTCAGTGCCGTTCAAAGGTTAGGAAGATGGTGGCCCCTGACTTCAGATCTTACCGATTACTGGTGTGGTGTTCTTGCAAAGGAAGAACGTGCTCCTGACAACAGTCCTTCGTCTCCTTCGTATGCACAATAGCTGAGAAACTGTGTTGTGTACAGGTTTTTCTACATCAGATTGGATTCTGTGCTAAGTGAGTTTGGGATACACCATCTAAGCTGCACAGATGCAACATTTTTGTTGTTAAATGTTCTTTTGTAGCCTGCAGCAGGGTGCGTATATCCCATAAAAGAGGTTTTGAAATGTTTCTTTTGGTTTTTTTAATCTTCCGTCTAGCACAGCAAGTGTCTTAAAACCATACTAAAACATGCATGCTTTCCTTTAAGCCTGTCTCTTGAAAAGCATGGGGTAGTATTGTCTTAGTTAACTATGAGCAAAGGCTGGAAAATAATTTATTCTACCTGTGCCTATCTAGAAGTGGATGTGAAAAAAATACAATGTGATCCTTCGATAGCTTCTCTCTGCCTTCTGTGCACCTTTGTCTATTTGTGTTACGCATCTCCAAGATCAGGAAGAGCTAACGCACAGCTGTAATCGAACAGTAAGCACGTAATTTGCAAACTTTTTTTTTTGTTGCAGTGCGAGGAATAGAGATGTCAAGTGCTTGCTTTCTGAAATAAATACGACCTTAGAATAGCTTCCCACCCTTTTTAACACAGCAATAACCGTCAGGGAGATGTGTTACACTGTGTGCTAGTGCTGTTGTTACTGTAGTGCCCTTGAGACTTCTGAAGTGAGGAAAACCTTTTGAAATATGTAGCAGAACCTTCAGTGTTGTGGGAGTTGAGGTGACATTTAGCACGTGTGGCTTCTTGAAAGCCACGGGAATTGGTTCAGTGTCTTATGCTTTTGGTCCCATGTAGAAAGTAATTCCTGAAATACTAGAATAACTTTAAGGTATGCAGATTCTTAGGAAATAAGAGTACTTCTGTTAAGTTAATACTTAAAACTGTATTTCAAAGAGAAAAATGTTTAAATCAGTTGATTGGAGTATTTTTAATTAAAAAGTTAAGTCTTTATTTTGAAGACTTAATAAAATAACTGCCAATAACAGACTATTTTTAATTTGCCTCTGCCTTTCTAGCTAAACTGAAAGCAGTATTTCATTGATCTGGAAAGGCTGCAGAAAGGGCTTCTAAGTAACTGAACAGCAAACAGTATAAAACAAGTCTTCATAGTCTAGAAGTTCAGATGGTGAAGAGTTGTGAGAGGAACCTAAGTAGATGTTGCAGAGAGACAACTGAGAAATAGAGAAAAATGGCTAAGGGTGAAAGCAGTCTGCTGCGCAGTAGCTGACCTGACCACGTGGCCATTCCTTTTATAAAAAGATTTTTTTTGTAACAGTGGTAAAATGGGCTGTATCTAGGGCTTAGAGAGGTCATGCTTTACTCCATCTTCACACCACTGCCAGCTTTAACCAGCCTTACTTCAATGCAAATGGAAATGAGTTGAAATCCTCTGTGCTGCTCAGCAGGTAGGAAGGGAAGTGAGCGGCGCCTGTTGCACCTCATTTGCTTCTTCAGCCTTTTTGACTGGCCTGAACGTTGTCAACTGGCTGCACAGCCTGTGTCTCTTCTCTTTCAATCAGGGTAATGAGGAATAAGTTCTGCTGTGTGTGGGGATCAGAATAACACTTGTGGGTTATACTTTGTGTAGACCGAAATTAGAAATCTGCATCTCTGCAGAGCCATCTCTGCCTTTTTTTTTTGTTTGTTTTCCTTCTGTAAATTTTCTAGGAGAAAGTGGACTTTTTAAAAATCTTCTGTTGGAAAAGCTGGGCTGAAGAGTAAAATTTGGTGGATTGAATGAAGCATATCTGTTTTGGTCTCAGTTTTGCCAGTTCCCTAACTCTAAAAGTAAAACATCAAAAGCAACTTTATTTTTGATGATAGTTCAACTGTTTCATTTTAGTTTTCTCCCATCTGTCCTTCTTAATTAGAAGTTACAGTGGCCCTGAGACTGAAGGACAGCTTTTGAATTCTTTCGTCCAGTATTTTGGTGACAGCCTTGGGAGAAAGATTAAAAGAATGCCTTTAATTGAAGAAACTGTGCTGCCTGGAGACTCCCTCCTTACTTTGCCAGTAGTAATAATAGGTGAGTTTTTTCACTTTTTTAAGGTTCTCTGTCACTGCCATTGCCTTTATAGACTTGCTGCATGAACTACTTTTTCATTAAATAACTAATGCTTAGTGTTCTTACAACAGGGAGGTTTGTTAGAGTAATACAGTTGTTACGATTAAAAACTGTGCCATAAAATTATGTTAAGGAACTTGTTGTTGGAGTACATTTGAATTCAGATTGTACTTTGACAAAATGAGCTGCATTACTTGGCAGCAGGTACATGAGTCTTATAGGAAGAACTGTTTTGATTCTAGCGTTGATCACATGGGGCTTGATTAATGTCTCCTTCAGGTTGCATGGAGGTTGTTTATGATGCACCAGTTGAAATTCGTGGGGTCAGATGGGACAGTGAAAAGCACAGTGTAAAAAACTGTGCTGTATGTTGGCTAGATGCTAACCTCTCTCATTAATTGCCTTTTCCTTCCTTGCATCCATCACTAATGTCTGAATATTGTCCCATCTTTTCCAAAATGAATCCAATTCAACCAGTTCGAAACTATAAACTGTTGTCTTGATTAAATGGTACATGTAAAATCGTGCTGAATGACAGGGCAGCAGAAGGATCAGGCTAGGTACACAGTTTAATTGAGAGTGCTACGACGATTTGCATTGGGCCAAGGTTTTTCCAGCAACAGCTGGTCACCAGCTCCTTACCGCTGTGACTTGATGAGGGGATAAAGAAATGATCTGAAGTAAAGGAGGTTTTCGATAATCTAGTCCAAAGCTGTTGGGACTACAGCAAATCAACAGCTTTAACTGTACCTGCAAGCATGCAGAGATTCCAGGGAATGACGTTTTGATGTAATGCACTCACAGTAAATCTCCACAACTTTGGAAGATTGATGTTTCTTCAGTGCCTGTTCTCAAAGCTCTCTTCTAGACAGCTTAAAATAGTGCTCATGTAATAGACTTACATAGATGTGACAGACATGAATCACTTTACTGAGTTCTGCATCGTAGTCGAAGAGCAACATTTTTCTGGCATTTTGTCAGCCTTACTATAGGTTTACCATATGGTTAGGGAGTCAGTTTTCACTGTTTAGTTTTGCAGATAGGCTGTATGCAAACACCTGTGCTCAATACCTGTTTTGTCTAGAGCGCCTTTCTGTGTGCTGACACCACACACAGAGGCCTTGGTTATTTCTCCCTGAGAAACATATATGGTGCCGAAACGTTTTCTTCACAGATACATTTGAGACACTTTAGAAGCTGATCTTCTCCAGTGGCACAAGTTCATTGTTGTCACAAGTTCACTGGCTGTCTGAAGACACTTAAAAAGGATCTAAAGTGGTTTAATAATGTAATAGAAGAATAAAAGAAGTTGTCATTCCCCCTTACAAACACACACGGAGAGTCTACTGGTTTAATTTTCTCTATGTCGTTCCTGGCTAGCTGGAGTTAAACATACTTTTAGCTTCCTATTGCCACTGTCTTCTTAGTGTGTTATTTTGTTAATCAGAAAGAACAAGATGACACATGTGTGAGCAGTTAATGACAGAGGAATTACTTATATTCTCTTAACGTCACCATCCCCTTTTTCCCTGTATGATGCCCAAGTTAAGATTTGATTCTAAGCCTGTGCTGCATATTGTACCCCAGTTCTGCATTGAGCACTAAGCTACTGTGGTGATTTTAAGTAGCTTCTGTACTGTACCTGTCTTCAAGAAATTGGGAAGAAATGGTTACATTCCATTTGAATTAGTTGAGGCCAAAGAATTTTGTGCTGGAGCTCCAAGTCCAGAGGATGTTGTGTACTAAACGCTTCCATCCTTTGTACTAGTTTTGATCATGACTGTGTGAACACAATGTTTTCATCCAAATAGCAAGCCTGTTATGATTCTCAGAGTTAATTATTTGCTTTAAATTTAGATGCAAAATGTAATATTGATTGTACTGTAGTTTACTGTTGATAGGAGAAGCTTCTGCTGCTATTCAAACAAAATGTTAACTGCTCCTTAAGTGAAGAGGGCCATGGGGTTTGGGGATATATTGATTTTATATCTAAAGTTTGTATAATAGTAACATCTCTCAGTTGTAGACAGAGTCGTTATTGGAGGCACTGTGTGTAAATAAAGATAAACTCCTCAGGTATAAATTTCTCATTTCAAAAAGGTTTATTTTTTTTTTCCCCAAGGATTTCCTGAGAAAATCATAGCAAGTCTAATTGCAAGCCTTCTTGTGTATTCTTGAGAGCGTATCCAGAAAGGAACTTCTGTCCCTTGGACTCAGTCTGCTCGAAGAATAGAAACTGAGTTTGGATCAGCTCTTTGGATGGTCCTAGCCGAGTGGTTACGGAGCTCAGTGGCAGTGCTTAACATAAAACCATTCTCAGTAATTCCCTTGACCCTTGCCAGGCTTTGCTTTGGCAACTTTTGTATCCATTTGGTTGTTTTGGTTTTATCCAGCAGGAGTAATCTTCAGCATGACATCCTTGGATATGCTGCACATTTTTCCATTGTGGATTAACATTCTGTGACTGGCTTCCTTTACACCCCAACAGGAGAAAAAAAAAATCTAGCTATGTGCTTGTTAAGGGGAACACAGTTCTTTACTGTGCACGAGATGTAATTCTGAAAATAGCTAAGAATTTAATCAGTCATGGGAATGCTTGCGAACTGTAGGTATGATTAGAGTGTTATCACAACTGGATACGATTTTGTTAAGGGTGGTTTCGTGTAGTGCTGAGGTTCTCTATCACATCCATCTCTTGTGGCAAGTGGGTGACAGGAGGGGCCTGCATCTGTTTTAAGCTTTAAAATCCTGAACTGAAGCGTAACCAGCTGTGGCATGCTGATCTGTTCGTGGGAGAATAGGACAGTGTGAGAATAAGGGAAAGCATTTTCACTGTCCAAAATACTCTTTTTTTGTAAATGGCGAAATAGGAAACAAAGTGGTTTGGGAGATAATATAGGCGAGAACACCAATATCTAAACCTTATATTAGAGACTTTTGACTTAACTGTGTTGAAGATCCCGATGATGCAAATCCACAGCCTTCCTGGACAGTCTTTTTCCAGTGCTTTATGGTCCTCACAGTAAACAAAAATTCTAATGCCTATGATTTTGCCCCCATATTCAAGTGCAAAACCAAGGTTGTTCAGTAGGAGCCATTGTGCAGTCACACATACTTATTTGGGTTCTAGGCCTTTGGAGAAAACATGCCTGTTGAAGATTTCTCATGACTTAGTATTCTCAGCCTTTGAAGAAGTGAGCCTCCATGGTTTTCTTGTAGCCCATGGCTGTGACCTGTCTGTGCACAGAACACTGTGAAGAACTGTAGGATAGATTGTCCCCAAGGGCCAGAGTGATGAGTGTAGCCTGGTGGAGGAGGAAAAAGAGATCTGATGTACAAAGAGACTGGGAATGAACAGGATCTCAGCAAACCAATGGGGGATTTAGGGACTGGGACATCAGAAAAGGAAGGAGACAGTCACTGGAGAAACGAGCTTGTTAGCAGCTAGTAGAAAGTGTGTGCAAAAGCAATGGGGAATAGGCAATGATGGGTGAACTCCTGAGATCAAGGCTTGAGAAGGTAGGAAGTAAAATTTAGCACCTTAACAATGAGTGCTATATAAAAATGTGAATAAATTAGTAACTTTATCTTTAGCCCAGAGTTTGAAGAGTGTGTGGCAAATAACATGTGTCCCACTGCAGATGGAAAACAAAGACAAAATACTGATTAGTGCCTCGTTAGGAGAACACTGGGCTTTTCATTCAGTTAATGAGGAACAGGAGCTACAGAAATAATAGTATGTAGTCACATGTTTAAATGCTGTATCATGGCACATACTTTTCTGACTTCAGCTTTCCCTGACTTTTGATATCTGACTTTACTGACTTTTAGACATTACTTCAGTATTTGCATGTTATAAATATGGTCCCCTACTTTGTTTAATGCTAGTCGAATAAATAGAAATAATTACCTCATGGTAGCATTTTGGTCCCATCCATTTCACACCTTTAATAAGGTTAAATTTTCAGTAATGCACTTATATTAATTATAAAATGCCACAAAAAGCATATAGAAAGATGTTTGCATTTATATTGATGCTAAACGATGAATGGGATCTTAGATGAGTTTCTTGTACTTTACCACTTACCTGCTGTATCTGTCTTCACTCAGCTTTTATGTTGGCGTTGTGCTGTGTCTGTAACTTCTCATCTGACTTGCAGTCTTCAGCTTTCTGCTTGTCTCTCTGTTTTATGGACAGACCTGAAGGACATACACTGCAGATTGTCTTTTCGTTCTGTGTTTTACAGTACCCACTGTAAAAGGGAATGCAATGTTGTAAGATGGCAATCATATTCAGATATCACTGCAATTGATGGGCACACCAGCTCTTATCCATCGGGCCATTTTCACAGAAGAACAGTGAATCTGACATACTAAATTATGGACGTCCTTTATGTATGTTTTATTTCATGGTGTAAGCAGTTATACATACATTTTTTTATTATCTGAAAAATATTTTGTTCAGTTTGTTTGGAAGCAGGTCCTATGGTGGGCTTTAGTTTACCGTGAAGTTTATAAGCTGCTTTGAATTGGGACAGTATCGCATTGTACTACTTTAGTATCATTTTGTTGCCGCTTATTTAGTGACTTACAAACCCTAGATTATTGACATTTTTACTAAAGTAGTAACTTCTTTCTTTAATAGGAAATGGACCCTCGGGAATTTGTCTTTCATACCTGCTCTCTGGATACAGGCCGTATTTATCTCCCGAAGCGATACACCCAAACCCCATTCTGCATACGAAGTTAGAAGAAGCTCGACATCTTTCCATTGTTGATCAAGTAAGCTTTCGTTGACATCTTGCCTAGCTCTTTTCCTGCTACTAGCTGGATTATGAAACAGTAGGCTTTCTTTAATGATCCTGTTTAAAATGCTTTTGCAACTTACATAAGCAGTGCCATAGACAAGAAAAGGCTTAATATTCTCACCCTGCAAAAAATTAGACCATGGTAAAGCTCAGTAACTGTGTGGCCTCAAAGACTAGTTTTATCTATCTGTAAAATAAAAGAGCAGTGTATGCCTTCGTCATAGGCTTGTAACAAATTATAAGTAAGGCACTTCAAATGAAAAGCAGTGCATTTTAACAACTGCTTATCCAGAAAATTTCTGCAGATTGCATTGTGAAGAACCAGCCTACTTACCTAATAATATTTCTAATGCATTAGTCAGTTTTATTCTGTTATTCTGTTCATTTAAATAGAATTAGCTCATGACCATTAGATCCAGTCCTGGGGCATGTGGTGGGTTTTGTGGTTCTTGAGGGCTTTTGTTTGTGATTTTTGGTTTTTACAGTCTGCCCTTCGTTGTGTTCTTACTGCTTGCCAAAAGTGTCTAAAGCACCGCTTGGTCAGCAAGTAGCTGATGCAGGAATTCCAGCTTTCATATCCTGCGATGATGTTTGGGCACTATCATCAAAGAACATGTGCTGCTAACATAGTTGAAGTGCACACACTTCAAGTTAAAATCTTCCTAAATAGTACAATTTTCATTAAGACCTCATTTTGAGCAGCATTAGGGACACATATCATTTATAAACACATCCCATTTTTTCTTTCCTGAACTGTATGCATCCTTGAGTGTTCATATTGCACTCACGATTGCTCTTGTGCTGTAGTTGTTATCCTCATGTACATCCAATTTTTCTCTGTGATTCGATGAGCTAAATTTTCTCCATTATTTTCCTCCCAACTCATCCATTTGTTTGCCATGTAATCAGTGTTTTCTACTCACCTTACTCTACTCCTTATAGATTATTCACAATACTATCACTAACCAAATTGCCTGTGTGACTAATTTATTTGAAAGATAAACATGCATACATGTTTGTAGTGGGGGAGTAGGGATTGACTGGTTTTGATTTGGGTTTTTTTTTTGTTTAGTTCTGTACTGTTGATGTGTGTTGTTGATCTTAAGTCTCAAGGTTATTTTTTTGACAAGAGAGTAGGTTGCCTAAGATTTTGGCTACAGAGGTTTCATGTATTTCATCCTCCTCTGGCTGAAAAAATGAGTAGTCGTGGCACTTTGAGATGTAGTTGAGTGGTCAAGGTGGTGTTAACTTCACGGTTGGACTTGATGATCTTAAAGGCCTTCTCCAGCCTTAGTGGTTGTATGATTTTCCCAGTTTAGGAAGCTAAACTGTCTGGTCTTCATCAGCAAAAATTTGCCTTATGGCCAGTTCTTTTCTTCAAATTTCTATTCTCTCTTCAAATATTTGCCATTGCATTGTGAAATTTTTAGAATGCAGCTGGTTAATAGATGCTGAAATGTGAACGTTTTACAAAGTTCTAAAAATTGTTCTCAACATTAAGTGCTTTGTAGCATAAGCATAGTTGTAAGTATTATTATTAAAAATTAATTAAAATACCTCCATTATTTCAAAATATAATAAAGGTGGTGTAGGAACTACTTAAGAGCTGTCAGAGGAGCTTTATCTACTTGATCTTTAAAATTCAATTTTTTTAGATACCAATTCTACTTTATCAAAAGGGGTCTTCTAAAAATAGTAGCAATTCTTTGTTAAAAGCAGTCCACTATCTAGAAATATAAATATTACTAAGTTGCTCTGATCTCTCAATATTTGTCCCTATGTCTCTTTTTCTCCAGTGAATTTTGAATACTGACCTGCCCCAGTATTACTGTGTTGCTGACATGTAATTTTTAAATAAGTGAGATGTATTATTCAGAGTTATAGATGAACTGAATCATGGCAGTTATTTCTGAAAAGCGTCTTGGTTGAATTTCTGCATTACTTGCCTCAAAATGCAAATTGAACTAGCTGTGTTTTCTGTAGAAATTCAACTTCTGTACATCACAACAGCGCAGTGAACAGTAGAAGTTGCGTGAACACACCACTTCTTTTTCTTTTTTTTTTTAATCTTTTAGGATCTGGAATACCTGTCCGAAGGCCTCGAAGGCCGCTCTTCAAACCCAGTCGCGGTGCTTTTTGATACGTTGCTTCATCCTGATGCTGACTTTGGATACGACTACCCACCAGTTTTGCACTGGAAGCTAGAACAGCATAACTATATCCCCCACATAGTACTTGGTAAAGGACCGCCTGGCGGGGCCTGGCATGTGAGTAAAAATTTCTCTAAGGCTATTTCAGACAGTAATGGCAAATGCAGTTTCAGCTGCTTAGTTACTGAAGTCCAGAGATGTGGAGGAGTTGAGAAGGAAGGAAAAAGTTGTCCTTCATTTGAGGATTTGTGACCATGAGTGCTGTCTTACACACTTTTTTATTAGTTTAAATTTAATGAATTATAATGAAGAGTATTTTCTATGACTCTTTTCTCCTGTCTGGATGCCTTCAAGGTGCTTTTGTGCAAAATGTTCAATCTTCTGTTCATATGCTGTTGGTTTCTCATTTTTTTTCTTCTTGTTCTGTATTTTAAATAACTTGATTTTAGTTTCCCTTTCACTTGTTCTATGTTCACCTTCTTTATTAGATCATGTGGTGGCTCATTAAGATAGTGTCTAACTGTAACACGAAAATAGGTCATTAACACTTCATGTAACGTCCTGAAATTATGTTATGTTCTGGTATTTTATTGCTCTAAATGAGTAGAGTGAGAACTTCACAGTGTTTCACGTAAATGTATGCATTTGAAATGTATCTGGTCACGCATCTTGGTTTTTTTCCTCCATAGTCCATGGAAGGTTCTATGCTAACAATCAGTTTTGGAGACTGGATGGAATTGCCTGGCCTTACCTTTAAGGAGTGGGCAGCCAGCAAACGCAGGTAAAGGTACTGCATAACGTACTTGGGAAACCTGGTCGCAGCTAACGTCATGTTCAGAACTGGAAAACATTCGGACATCATTGTTCAGAGGGGGGCTTCCTGAGCTGTTTATTACATTGCCTGATGGCACTGGAAATTATTCTGGGTGTACTCTGGAAAAAAATGGACAATGGTTGGCTGGAGTAATTGCTTCGTGTGCATCTAGATACTTAGTGGTGTGTTTTAGCTGCATTTAACAAAGAAGCACTGTTACTGTAAGCAGTTTTTATCAGAGTTGAGGGAAGATTGAGGGAGGAATTTAAAATCTACAGAAGGATTGGTAGTTCCCCTTTCAACATAGGTGCAACTTAGGTCGTTGTGCCCACAAGTGTTTTTGTAATTCAGGAAGCTGTATATCTCAGTATTTGCTTTTATAAGCAAAGCTGCAGCATTTGAAGTGTTGCTCTCTATGAATTTTGAGAGCAACATTCAGTGTTTCCCAACGTTATTTTCTAGTCAGTTTCTTGGAAAAATTTTAGACGAGAAAAATTACTGTCTTGTACAAGCTCACTGTTTTCCCTTCAGTTATACAATTAGCTCATAAAGATCTGTGTCAGTGGATGAACCTAGGAACACTGCATAAGCTTTTTAAAAAATTTTAGTTTTCCTGAGTCTGTTCTAGCAAAATTAAAGGAAGTTATTCTTTTACCATATATGGCAAAAGACGATGAATTACTTGGGCATATATCTTTGTGGGCAGACTGTTACTCATTTCAGAACAACAGTTACGGTGAAGAAACTGCACCTTTGTTCTTTAATCGCTTTCTTAGATAACCACAGTAATCTTGCCTCCTTATTAACTGAAATCCCATAAGCTGCTTATTATCTGAGGCTAACTTGTTTATGTTATAGTTTTCAGTAATACTAAGAACAGAAATGCTGACCTGTTATACTACAATTAAAAAACATATCTAAAAGTAGTGATCATAATTAAAACTTGTAGTGATGATAAATAGTTTCCTAAGTTTGATTTTAACAGGTGTCACACCGTTGCATTGTCCTCTTCAGTAAACATCTCATCAGGATTTTCAGAGTAGTAACCTGAACGTTTAGAAATACATATGCTATTATCATGTTAATTTGTGAGGATCAGTAAATTTCTTGTAAATATATTTTTAAGCATAAAAGGTAGCAGTCCTGATGTTCACTGCTGTCTTTTGTCTTCCTAGAGCTTACTTCTAAAGAAGTGGGGAAATTCATACATCTGTTAAAAATAATTTTTAAGCATTTTCTGTTTATCTTTTTTGTAAGTGAGAATGCAGTAAACATGAGATTGAACCAGGATTGCCATGGAGAAGGGGTTTTTGTTGGCCACTTGGACATCGTAATCCTGTTTATATAGTTGCATTAAGGTTCTGTGTTGTACTTGATCTGTTCATTCCTGTGATACTGGACTACTTAATTTGATACCTATGGAACTTACCCGTACCCAACGGAGGGGGCTTTTACCAAGGACAGTGAATAATTGTTAACTCAAATAATACAGTGAACTTAGAGCTTCAAAATATGCACAACTATTAAAAAAACCAGTTAGCTTGTCTTCTATGTCAGGAATCAAGAGAACAAATAAAAGGCACTGAATGCATTTAAAGATACTGAACTGAGTATCAATTAAACAGAGCAGATTCAGTCCTCTTAGATTCGACTGTCGTGTGTCATATGTGAAACTCACATTATCGATAAGGTCTGAATGCTAACTGGAACCATTCGATTTTGTTTCAGAAATGTAAAGAGTGATCGAGTAATGCCAGAGGAAATAGCTTGTTACTACAAACACTATGTTAAAGTCATGGGCCTCCAAAAGAATTTCAGAGACAACGTTTACATAACATCAGTATCCAGGCTTTACCGAGGAGAGGATGAAGAAGATAGAAGTCAGCTAAATGAAAGTATTTCAGCACAGAATTTGGAAATGGAAGACGGGCAGAAATCACTAATTAAGAGAAACTGGGAAGTCAGAGGTTATCAGCGAGCCACAGACGGTTCTCACGTGCCCTTCTGCCTCTTCGCTGAGAACGTGGCTCTTGCCACAGGAACCTTCGATTCGCCGGGCCGACTGCAGGTTGAAGGAGAAGACTTTCCTTTTGTGCTCCATTCCATGTCTGACTTCGGAGCTGCAATCAGCAAAGGGAAGTTACGTGGGAAGGCAGACCCCGTGTTAATTGTGGGCGCGGGACTTACAGCCGCTGATGCGGTACTGTGTGCCTACAACAACAACATCCCCGTCATCCACGTGTTTCGTAGAAGAGTTACAGACACAAGCCTAATTTTCAAACAGTTACCAAAAAAACTTTACCCTGAATACCATAAGGTCTATCACATGATGTGTACTCAGTCCCATACCATGGACTCAACTCTGCATTCTGCTTACACTAGTTTCCCTGAACACAACGTACTTTCCTTCAAGCCTGAAATGAAATGTGTTCTTCAGAGTGCCTCCGGACTGAAGAAAATTTTGAAGTTCTCTGTAGCCTTAGTTCTGATAGGTTCTCACCCAAACCTGTTTTTTCTAAAGGACCAAGGACATGGCATAGGTCATCACTCTAATCAGCCCATCACGTGCAAAGGGAATCCCATAGAGATTGACCCGTACACTTACGAGTGCACTAAAGAAGCAAACCTCTTTGCTTTAGGTCCTCTGGTGGGAGACAACTTTGTACGGTTTTTAAAAGGAGGTGCCTTGGGCATTGCACGGTGCCTGGCAATAAGGCAGAAGAAGAAGCACGAATTGATTGAAAGTGGGGATGGAGGAGGTGATGGGGTACCGTAAGTGAGACGTTAGAAACTTTCACGTACAGAATTACAGACGTAGTCTAACAGACCACTCACTGACAGCAAAAGTTGATAGCAGTCACATTTCCGTTGTATACAAGTAACCTGCGCTTGTATTGCTTGGTAAAGGATGCTGATGCTACAATACTTCACCTTTTCAGAATACAAAAAATTGATCTGCTATTACAACTGATCTCTGCTCAACTGGAATTACTTCCAGATAAACAGAAAATGAGACTAACTTATATTGACCTGCCTGTCATCTCTTGCTCAGCTGAAAGAGCGGACTCTGTCTGCGAAAACAATGCCTGCCAGAATGGCTTTACATTTTAGTGTCAAATGTGACAAAATACTCTTGCCATGAAATCTAAATAACTTGGAAAAGCAGAAAGCTTGCCTAATACAAAGCAATTCTTGGTCCCAAAGCAAATTTGGAGCCTTCTGCTTGAAACAAAGATTTTATTTATTCACCATAGTAATACAGTAACACTTGGAATGAGCACTTAGTAAAATGTTTTTTACTGTAGGAGGAATTTCTGTAAGCAAGAAGTATTCCTCAACAGTTAGAAATTATCCTGTTTGATAATTGGAATAAAAGAATAAGCATTCCCATTTAAAATTTAACACATTATTTGGCACAATCCATTAATGTTTTTTCACACTATGCCTAGAGTTGGGTGAGTGCAGAAAGACTAACATGAGATGTTCCCCTACAGTGATATGTACATTTCTGAGAATACTCATTAACATAAACAATAAAGTACTGATGTAAGTGCTCTTATTACAGTGTCAGGATAATGAATATCTAGTGTACTACTGAAAAATTAGGTACAAGACAAAACGTAAGGTTTTTTGCTTCCTAACTCAGGAAGACTGAATGGGATCATTTGACTTATGAGGGTGGGTGATAGATATTCTCATCTCCCATTTGTCCAAGTACTGGTTATTTATCTTTTTTTTTCTCCTAGAACAGCGCATAACATTAAAACTATTTCAGCCTACAGTTTCTGAAACTTTAAAAAGGGTAGTATCTCACAGCCAGCTAAAAAATAAATAAACCGCACCCAAAACAAATGTGCTGTAGTTCCTATAAATCTCAAAGCTTGTTATAAAAGACAAAGACTTAACTTGTACCTACCTCTGAACTGAAGTTTCTGCTCCATAATTCAAGATCTAGATTTCATTTGCTGGGTTTTAAGGTAGTAGGTTTACCTAAATACACTCACGGGTTTATTCACCATAGTGCGGTGAGCAACAGCTAGTTCGACAACTTATCTCCCAGAATTCTCAGTAGATAAAAGTGTTTGGTTTTAACCTGAGTTATTATCAGACATTTTAATTCAGGTCCGATGTGATGGAATAGATGTTATTTAATTTAATTATTTTGTTCGGGGCTTTTTTGTGTTGAAGAATGTCATGTTTAAGGTTTTGTATTTGCATGATTGAAAACTCAGTGTTAGAACTCAGAACAGATTTTAAAAAGGAATTTGGGCTTAGACCTTGTGAAACTGCTAGTGCTTGCTAGTTTCCCAGCTGTCTAACCTTCATGAGTTGTAGATACCTATATGCAATAAATGCCTGTTTTCTGTGCCTACTGAATTATGGGGTTCTGTGGCTACTGCAGGCCTTCACGCATCTGAGTAAGTTACTCGGACTTTGGACCTAGAAGTTCAAAAGCTGAAGTATGCAAGGATTAAAATGACTCTATTTTCAATGGAAGTCCAAAGTAATTTATGGAATGAATACTGCTACTACTACTACTGCTAAATTTTAGTTTAGAGCCAATTTAATAGCATAAACACAAATGAAGCAACATTTATACGGATTTCTGCATTGCCTTCATGGTTGGATTTAACCATGCATCAATACTAGTTAAGATACTTTTTTATACTGATACTTGAGCTGGTTTAATTATGCTAAATTCTAGGCTTATTTTCTTCATAATTGAACTGAGATTGTATAATTTGCCTTCTTTGGCAGAAACTGTGTATATATAAATCCATTCTAAACCTGTGATACCTAATAATTTTAACTGAGAGTCAGTTATAAGTCATAAGTGCTAAATACTGTATTATAGAACTTTATTGCAGTTAATATATTGAGAATACATCTACGCTGTGATTAAATTCTTTCAGTTTTGTGTCAATATAAATGTCCAAATACAACACATCGTGGCATCTCACTGCTTTTTCATTTGTCATGTGAAACATCTAAAATGCCAACAAAACAAAGGAAACAATTTGCTTAGATGGTTATTTTGCAAAAAGTGGCAAAAAGTTTTAAACAGCCAAATCTCTAGCCTCAGCTGCTGCAGCTACTTAATGCCCTGTGTGTTGTAGTGACAAATTTGTAGCAGATAATTTTGTTCTGTTATTACACAGGTGTCTTTCACTGCAGTATTACAGCAACTTGAGGTTTAACTGCTTTTTTTTTTTTTTAATCAATGTTGCCAGCATTTTTGAGCTAAAAAATTGAGTGTGAGACCCCTTAGTTGGGCAAAGAAATTTTCTCAATGGTCATGTTTATTAAGCCAGTTTTAAAATACTTTTTTTTCAGCTAAAACTTTACTAAAAAAAAAATTCATCCTGTTTCTTTTAGGAATTGCTAGGTTTAAAGTTATAGCCGGACTTTCTCACTTTTGGGTTTCTGATTTTGAGAGAAATTTGTTTCTCTCCTCTTTGGTGTTTTGAGAAGGTAAGAGATGTAAGAATTCAAGCTTTGCCTTAGGATAGTTTTACCTAAAACATTATATCATATTTACCGCATTTATTGTGGATTAGATGTTGGCACTGGATAGTTGTCTTCTTGGAAAATACTTTGTTTCTCAGTTTAAAAGAAAAAAAAAAAGAAAAAATTTGAATTTCCTCTGTGTTATCATAGTTTCCAGAAGAGAGACTGCTTTTTTCAGCTAGAAAGATAAGCTTTTAAACATCACCAATTTAAAAACGATGCTTACTACTTAAGCTTTGTTACTAAAATACAGACAGGGAAAATACAACTTTTAGCTAAAGGAATTTAATTTGGATTTATAGAATTTTTAAAGGTATGTTGACCTCTACCATCTATTTTCTAATAGGCTAGTGGGAAAATGACTCCTACATTTGGGTTTGGTTCTTAATGCTGATTGGGTCTCCTAGCTAAATCATTGCTAAGATTATTTTTGGTATCCAGCTGTTGAACTGGGACTAGAATTTATTGTAGGAGGTTTTCCTAACAATCTGCCTCCTACGTGAATTTAACAATAGGTGCACGTTAATGAAGGCACTTGATACAGCACAACCTTTCTTTTGGTTTCCAGTGACCGACTTGTGCTTAAAACATTTTCCACAAAAGAGCAGGGTTAAGTTTTACCCTGGTGAGTAAACACAGAAATCCTTTCTACAAGTAACCCGGAGACAGTGCTGACAACAGCAGATTCTTTTCTCTCAGTAAAAAGTGCATTGCCTTGGGCTTGCAGCCTGGGCTGGCCAGCGAAGGCACGGAGAGTTACAGCTCCCAAAAATGTGCCTAGATGGTGTGTAAGGGTCACCACAGTGTGTCCCACAGCCGAGGTCCCTACCCCTCAGCACTCAGGGAATTATTGGGGTGTACAGCGTTTGCCTTCTGGCCTGGTGAGTGTGTGTAGGCACCTCTATTTTTAATGATTATTTTCATAGACTTATGGTTGCATGATGAAAAGTACTGATTTTGTAGAAGGAGGTGGCTGTAGCTTCTGTCACAGCTCAGGAACTATGAAAAGAAGGCTAGAGCCAGGAATCCAGACTATTTATTCAGAGCTGGAGGAAATTAAATTAACACCGAAACTTTTGAGGCGTACATGACCAGCATTTTTACACCAACTGCTTTTGAGAGAGAAGGGGTGTAAAATTTGTGAGCTTCTAGTGAGTCCTCATTGATAATGAGCGACTGACCAGTGAGGAACGACAGGAGAAAAGCCACAAAGCATCTGAGGAGAATGAACTGCAAACCTGTAGGTGGCTGAAGAGAATCCAAACAGTGTTGAGAGGCTGTTGGTCTCCCATCCTCTTGTGTCACGATCTGCATATTGTAACTTCAGAGTTCTCTGCCACAGCTGTTGGTCTAACACGTTGCCATATGTATTTAACTGGCTACTAACTGAAGTTGCACTGAAGTGCAACACGTAGACATGAACTAGAAGTAACCATGTTTGTTCCAGAAGCTGTAGGGCTGGATCAGAAAGGTGGTGTGCCAAGAGATGAGACTTAGTTGCTCTGGTACCATATTTCCTACTTCTGAGAAAGCAAGCAGGTACTTTCATTAAATAGGGGCATCTGTAACAGTGCTAGTTCCCAAACATTTCTAAACAACAAGAGGTAGCACATGTATGCCTTGAAGGCAGCTGATTATTTAATTTTATTATCTTCCATATACTAATGATTTAGTATTTTTGTTTAAAGGACAAAAAATGCCAAAAGGTTTAAACTGTTACATTTTAATTTAGCTAATATTTTAGAACCTTACAAGAACAATGTTGTGTCTGCCTTCCCGTACCTGAAGGGAACCTACAGGAAGGCTGGGGAGGGACTTTTTACAAGAGTGTCCACTGATAGGACAAGGGGAAATGGGTTTAAGTTGAAGGAGAATAGATTTAGATTAGATCTTAGGAAGAAATTCTTCAGTATGAGGGTGGCAAGACTTTGGAATAAATTGCCCAGAGATGTTGTGGCTGCCCCCTCCCTGAAGGTGTTCACGGCCAAGTTGGACGGAGCCTTGAGTATCATGATCTAGTTGAGAGGCGTCCCTGCCCATGACAGGGAGGTTGGTCTAGATGATCTCTAAGGTCCCTCCTAGCCTAGGCCGTTCTATGATTCTATGATCATTTTGGATTATTTTTTGAAACGAGAGCAAGAGAGGAGCATAGTATCTCAACTGATGTAAGAGCTTTCTGGACATTTATTTCCCGTTTCCCCTTGCCTGGCCTGAAAAAAAGTCAAGTTTTGTTTGAAATAGCCATAATACCCGATTCTATTTAGCAGA